CCATGTTGACCAGGATGGTCTCGATCTCTTGACCTCGTGATCCACCCGCCTCAGCCTCCCAAAGTGCTGGGATTACAGGCTTGAGCCACCGCGCCCGGCCAAATTTTTGTATTTTTGTAAAGATAGGGTTTTACCATGTGGCCCATGCTGGATTCAAATTCCTAAGGTCAGGCAATCTACCTGCCTTGGCCTCCCAAAGTGCTAGGGTTATAAGCATGAGCCGCCATGCCTGGCCACCCAGCTAATTTTTCTTTTTCTCTTCTTTTGGTAGAGATGGGGTTTCACTGTGCTGCTCAGGAAGGTCTCAGTCAAACTCCTGAGGGCTCAAACGATCCTCCTGCCTGGGCCTCCCAAAGTGCTAGGATTATAGGCATAAGCCACCTCACCCAGCCTGGGAGTATATAATTAGCACCGGTGCTCAGATTCCTTCCATAGGTCCCTTCCTCCACCTCATACCAGACACTACTAGGCACTGGGTATACAAATGGAATAAGTAGGTCACAGTCCCACTCCCAAGAAGGTTATGGTTCAGATGGGGTGAGACAAGTCAAGAGCCACAGTCTGAGCCGCGAATGAGCACACAGTACAGGATGTTGTACAGGAGAGGGTCCTCCCAAGGGGGCTTCTAGACAAGACTGGAATAGCAAGCAGGATTCAGCTGCAATATGAATGCAGTAGGTAGGAGGGCAGATGGAAGCAGAGAAGGGCTGGGAGAAGGCACCGCATGTGGTGGGGTGGTCTCTGCATAGCAGGACATAAGGCCAGAAAGTTGAATAAGGGTGGGGGTTGATGGGAGGGAACTTAGAGGATGGGTCAATAGGTGCAGCAAACCACCATAGCACATGTATACCTATGTAACAAGCCTGCACATGTATCCCGTTTTTTTTTTTTAGAAAAAAAAAGTTGAATAAAATGCTGATCACATAGGCCCTTGTGACCCATCTGTACTAAAAATATAAAAAATGAGCCAGGCATAGTGGTGGGCGCCTGTGATCCCAGCTCCTCGGGAGACTGAGGCACAGAACTGCTTGAACCTGGGAGGTGGAGGTTGTAGTGAGCCGAGATCAGGCCACTGCACTCCAACCTGGAAGACAGAGTGAGACTTGGTCTCAAAAAAAAAAAAGGACAACCATGCATGTATAAAGCAATCAGGAATATGTTATGAACTAATGATTAATGTGATTTTGTGCACCTGTGAGCCATTAAAAAGATAACCAAGGTCATTACTAAGATTATTAGTAAGGATTTGAACACCAAGAGAGAATAGAGAACACTTTGATTAATATGTACTGGGAATGATCATGGTGCTGGTGGGGAAAAACAGGGAGATGAGGGAGGCAGGTCCAGAAGGACTCCAAAGTTACAGGGAAAGTACAACTGGAAAAAAAAACAATCAATAAATGTAATAGGAAAAATTGATTATCGAATTTGGGACTGAATTTTCACTTGAAACAATAAAGCAGAAAAGGAAATCTGAGTCCCAAGTAGCTTTAGGCACAGCCAAATTGTGAGATTTAAGTAATGTCACCAGAACGGTTTCTCCACACCCCATCCTGCCTCCGAATTTTAGACTCTCTCCTTCTGTGCGGTGTTCTCCACCAGGCAGTTTCCCTCCTTACTCTGGTGGAAACGAAGTGTCGCCTGATAATGTGTACAGGAACTCTAATGTCGACCCCTGCCAGCTTTGCTTAGGACTCGGCTCTCTAGGACAGATCTGGGTCATATTCCTGATGTTAGAGTGGAATGAACTGAGGAGTCAACCCCACCAGAGCCACATGGTTTAAGCACAGAGGATGGGTAGGTTCCTATAGGAAAACTGAGCTGTCATCACAAGAGCACATGGCGTTGGGGAAGGCAGGCATCCTCTACAGATTCCATTCCCAATAGCGACAGAAGCCAAACAGCTGGAAAACATCTAAATAGAACCTATATAAAGAAAACCACAGGCCGCGCGCAGTGGCTCATGCCTGTAATCCCAGCACTTTGGGAGGCCAAAGCAGGCAGATTGCGAGGTCAGGAGTTCAAGACAAGCCTGGCCAACATGGTGAAACCCTGTCTCTATTAAAAATACAAAAATTAGCTGGTGGTGTGTGCCTGTAATCCCAGCTAATCGGGAGGCTGAGGCATGAGAACCGCTTGAACCGGGACCCAGGAGGTGAAGGTTAGAGTGAGCCGAGATCGCATCACTGCCCTCCAGCCTGGGCAACAGAGTGAGACTCCTCTGTGGGTAGAGTGGGGAAGAAAGAAAACCATAAAAGACCTGAGTAAATGGAGCAGGAGTTTATGTTCTTAGAAAGGAAGGCAATATTAGGCTAGGCATGGTGGCTCATGCCTGTAATTCCAGCACTGTGGGAGGTCAAGGCAGGTGGATTGCTTGAGCTTAGGAGTTCGAAACCAGCCTGGGCAACATGGTGAAAACTCTGTCTCAAAAAAACAAACAAAAACCAGGGAAGACAATATTGTAAAGAGATACTATATATTTCCAAATTGATCCACTTTCATTCTGTCACCCAGTCTGGAGTACCATGGTGTGATCATAGCTCACTGCAACCTCAACTTCCTGGGCTCAAATAATTCCCCCACCTCAGCCTCCTAAGTAGCTGGGACTACAGGCATGCGCCACCATGCCTGGGTAATTTTTGGGTGTTTGTTCCTCCTTTATTCTATTTTTTCTTCAGACCAGACTGGCTAATTAAAAACAATTTTTTTTTTTTTTTTTGTAAAGACAGTCTCACTATGTTGCCCAGTCTGGTCTCAAACTCCTGGGTTTAAGGGATCATACTGCCTTGGTCTCATAAAGCGCTAGGATTATAGGCACGAACTACCACACTTGGCCTAAGCGGATTCTTTTGAGATGGAGTCTTGCTCTGTCACCCAGGCTGGAGTGCAGTGGTACAACCTTGGCTCACTGCAACCTCCCCCTCCCAGGTTCAAGCAATTCTCCTGCCTGAGCCTCTGGAGTAGCTGGGAGCACAGGCGCGCGCCACCACAGCCAGCTAATTTTTGTATTTTTAGGAGAGATGAGGTTTTGCCATGTTGGCCAGGCTGGTCTTGAATTCCTGACCTCAAGAGATCCATCCCCCGCCCCTGCCCCCACCGCCAAAGTGCTGGGATTACAGGTGTGAGCCACTGTGCCAGGCCTCTGAATGTACACTACTCACTAAAAGAGCCAAGGGTCTTTCTGAAAAATAGGGAAAGGGATTAGACTTAGCCCATCAGATATTCAAATATACTGGGAACATACAGCAGTTGAGACAGTGCTATTAGATGAAAAGATGTCAGAACAGAATGGAAAATATATTCAAATCAGCAGGGGAAAAAAGGACTGTCAATGAATAATGCTGAAATATCTACCCCTGCTCTTCAAGAAATGAGCCCTACTTCATACTTCACCAAAAAAAAAAAAAAAAAAAATTTAGAATGGATTAGTGACCAAGGACATAGAATACTTTTCATACTCTTGGGACATGGATCTTCCTCAAGAATGCCACAATAACCCTGAGGCCATAAAATCAAACATTTAGAATGATCTGGCCAGGCACTGTGGCTCACACCTCTAGTAATCCCAGCACTCTGGGAGGCCAAAGCAGGCAGATCACTTGAGGTCAGGAGTTTGAGACCAGCCTGGGCAACATGGTGAAACCGTCTCTCCTAAAAATACAAAAATTAGTTGAACATGGTGGCAGGCGACTGTAATCCTAACTACTTGGGAGGCGGAGGTTTCAGTGAGCCAAGATCTTGCCATCGCACTCCAGCCTGGTGACAGACCAAGTAAAAAAAAAAAAAAAAATCCAATACTGCCAAGTGTGAAGAACTAAGCACTCTCATGCCCTGATGTAAGTTTGGACTGCTCTAGCCTATTTTGAGTAATCACTTGATAGTAGCCAAATTTTAATACATGTCAATTGGGACTAGATTCTCTATATTCTCATGCTAGGATGCTTTTACCAATGTAATCATGCATGTGTACAAGGCTACAGACAAAAAAGCTCCATGCAATGTTTCCAGTGGCCCCAAAAGAAGAAACACCCTGAAATACACAGCAGTGGCAAGGCAGTTAAATCAGCGTATCCTGTGACAATGAAGAATGCACTGCAACAGTCCAAACAGTGAAGGACAGCGGCATGATCTGGAGAGAAAGAGCTCCCAAGATGAAGTCAAAAGAGCAGGTCCAGTTAAGTTTTATAAAATGCAAGTATAATAACAGGTGGGAAGGCCTGCAGGGAATCCCAAATTAACCACCTTGCAGGTAGGTGATAGTTTGACTGCAGAATGGGAAGAGGTGAGAAATGAGGGACTTTTTATGAGCTTGCGCGTTGCTGGAAAAAAAAAAAAATCAAGCATTGTTACATGTATATTTAAGGATGCAATAAGAACAAATTGTCATCAATTCAACTTACTCCTAAGAATGAGGGCTTATTGAATCAGGAAAGCCAACTATTTTTAAGATATAAATTTATTAAAACTTTGACGTTAACAATTTATTAATTAATATGTTAACTATAAAAACCTAGAAGTCCCAGGAATTAGATTTCAAAGGATTTGGTCTCAAAGAATTCCTTATAAATGATTTTAAGGTGACATCCCTTGTTAAACTGGGACATTTTCTGCTTTGGGCCTCATGTTGCCCCAGCTGTGGCCAAGATTAAAATGAGGCAGCAGCACATGAAGTTCTGGAGATGAGAGGTTCACATTCACTCTTACCCAAGTGTCAGCAAATAGCCCCCTATTTCCCATTTAATGGAATGCAGTTTCTTCTGCGATTCTTTGGCATAATGAGGCGCTAGACTCCCCATTTCTCCCATGCAAGGAAGAGCCATCTGCATTCTTGTCCTCACACGTGAGTACTTGTCACAAGTTAAAACACTGGCCAAATCATCACCTTAGGACTCCTTGTGTGCATTCAGGTAAAAACATCTGGGGTGGGAGGCCGGTGCTTTCTCTCAGTTCTCGCGCTCACCCCTCAGTCACTTAGTTGGTCACAGTTGGGCAGGTAGAAGTGGGCTAAAAATTTTAAAACTCCTAATTATCGTGTCCAGAAGTAGATGAATGCTGCTGTTAACAACCATGACAGGAAAACCTGGACCAGCAATTTTCTCCATAATGCCAGTGAGTAGGAGGTCCTGAAGAAGTAACAAAAGCCATCCTACAGTGGGGCGAGAGAAAAGTTAGATTGCCTCATGATGCTGAGAGCCTCACTCAAAACACGTGGGAACCTGCAGATTAAACAGCAAAGGAATCTTTGGATTTAAAAAGTAAAAGGAAGGAAATTCTGATCAATACACACGCAGTACTGAGGAGCCCCTGAGTACTGAGGACTGCTAAGTCTAACAGAGTGGATAGAAGCGACCATTTGACTTTGTCACTTGGTGTAGGAACACTCGTATCTTGACTCAAAACCAAGAGGAAGGTAGACTATGACGCTCTTTTCTGAGCAAAGAGATGTCCTTTGGGAGACTGTCAAGTCACTAGATTGAAAAGTTATCACCCGATACTACAGCAAGCACCAACTCCATTTAGGAAGGGAACTGAACTCCAGGCTGTGGCATTTTAACTGCAATGGGCAGAGACGGGGGTGCACTGTTCACCCAGTTTGAGAATTTCAGCTTCTTTTTTTTCCTTTTGACATGGAGTTTCACTCTTGGTGCCCAGGCTTGAGTGCAATGGTGAGATCTTGACACACTGCAATCTCCACCTCCCAGGTTCAAGCGATTCTCCTGGCTCCACCTCCCAAGTAGCTGGAATTACAGGTGCGTGCCACCATGCCCAGCTCATTTTTTTTTATTTTTAGTAGAGATGGGGGTGGGTTTCACCATGTTAATTGTCTTGAATTGCTGGCCTCAGGTGATCCACCCACCTTGGCCTCCCAAAGTGCTGGAATTACAGGCATGAGCCACGGCACCCGACCGAAAATTTCAGCTTCTTGATGTTAAGAGATTATTCTTTAGTCAACAGCGATTAGACAAAAACATGAACAAAACAAAAAAAAACTTCTGCTGGATTCGCTGTAATCGCAGCATTTTGGGAGGCAGAGGCAGGGGGATCACCTGAGGCCAGGAGTTTGAGACCAGCCTGACCAACATGGAGAAATACCGTCTCTACTAAAAACACAAAATTTAGCCAGGTGTGATGGTGCCTGCCTATAGTCCCAGCTACTCGGGAGGCTGACACAGAAGAATCACTTGAACCCTGGAGGCAGAGGTTGCGGTGAGCTGAGACTATTCCATTGCACTCTAGCCTGGGCAACAAGAGCAAAACCCTGTCTCTTAAAAGAAAAAAAACTTCAAGGGCCCCTTTCCAATTCTCATCTCTTCATGTACTGAGCCCGGAGGGGCAAGAGGCTGTGTTGAGAGCTCAGGTGAGGCTCTTAGGCAGGCAGCTGAAGGGAGTTCACCGGCCCAGAGGGCTGAACACCAACACGAACATGAACAAGGCAGGAGATCAAGCTACACCTCCCACCCCCTGTCCCTTCTCAGAACGTAACTTGTCACTATACAAGGTATAAATGGGAACGACCCACAGGAGGCTAAATTTCAGATAAAAAAACTTGCCCGTTTTAATAGTTTGGCCATAGGCATCCAATAACATGGGTCACCTCAGTCATTGAATCAACGCCAATAAGGTGGTGAGGAAATAAATGGGGTCTAGCTCAGAACCCTAGGGCCATGCGAGGGGTGGGGTGTCTCACCACCAGGTGGCTTTCCTTGATTAGCAGCTGCAGACCAAAGGCCTATCCCTCTAACCTTGACCACAGAGATTAAGGCCTGCAGCTGAAACCAGGGGCCTAGAAACGTCCTCACTGAGGGCTGGATGCAGCGGATTAGAAGTTAAGGAACCTTGGGTAAGTGCCACCACCGGGCGACCAGCACACTCCACAACCCCTCTTGCCAGGCTGAGGTGTTGGGGGTTATGATTAATGGGTCTGAGTCTCTCCAAAGGCACATTTAATAGGCACAGGAGAAAAACACCCCACCTGGCCTGGCCCCCCAATTGCTGACTTCATTTGTTGGTGATTTCTATAGGGGCAAAGCGTTCAGACCTAACGTGGGTGTCCCCAAAAGCCCCCGATGACGAGCTAAGGCCAGGGCAAGGTCCAAGGGAGCAGACCCAAGCCATGCGCGGCTGCTTCGGAGAAGTTCATAGCCATCTAACAAGGCCTATTCCTGCCAGCCTCTCTGCCAAGGGAGGAGAAACCCCAGACCTCACACCGAGCATTCCAATCCTGCTGAAATGAGCCCTTTTGCTTTCAAGAAACCTCATTCCAGGGGCCTGAGGCAGTGGGTCCCTCCTCGTGCTGGGCACGTGGGTGAGCCCTTCCCGGGTGCCCATCCCGCCCCGTGTCCCCCTCCGCGTGCTCACCCAGCCGCCCTGAGCCTCCAGCCAGGCACGGTGCTGCCCCACGAGCCGCGAGCTCAGCAAGCCCACCAGGCGCTGGCGGTCCCGGGAGACGTTGCCCTCCGGCTCCTTCAGCCGCGACTGGAAGCCCCACTTCTTCCACCGGGCGGTCACCAGCGGCCCCCTCTCTAGCAGCGTCCCCGCGAAGGCCAGAAGCATCACCACGTTGCCCCAGGTGGGGCCGGGACTGTCGGAGAGCAGCGCCTCCGCCATCCTCGCCACCAGCTCGACGCGGTTCCCGGGGTAGCCGAGGTAGGCGGAGAAGAAGGACCGGTAGACTTTCCGTACACCGGCGGCGGTGGCGCGCAGCACAGCGGCCTCGGCCGTGGCCGGCGGCGACTCGGGGGTGCCGGGCTCCCGGGAGCAGTACTCCAGGTAGTCCGCCACCAGCCGCTCGGTGCGCTGCCGCAGCGGGTCAGCCATGGTCCGGCCTCTGCTGGGGCTTCGGGCCTTCGCCGGCTTTCTTGGCCCGGCCGCGCCTCCCCCAGGGAGGGGCTGCCATGCCCCGCCCCAGCCCCCAGGCCCCGATGTTTGTTTTCAGAATTGGGAGAGGAGCCTTTGATGGGAATCCCAACTGCACCTGTTCCAGTCCCCAAGGCCCGGCGGTGCGCACGTGTTCGCGTAGCGATCAGGCGCACTGTGACACTCTTTGGGGGTTATTTAGCTCCAGGCCTGGGGACTAAAAATCTGAGGGGACAAAGAACCTGAGGGAACAGTCTGGGAAACTGGGCTGGGCTTCAGCCTCCCCTTTTTTTTTTTTTTTTTGAGACGGAGTTTCACTC